CCCCTCTCCAGCAGGTATCTCTTTATATGGTCCGCGCAGGGGACCTGTATGGCTTCCCGGTTGAAGCGATTGATGAACTCCCTCAAGGTTTCATCCTGTCTTTGGATGATGGCCTCGAGAGCCGCCTCGATCTTTGGATGCCGCCGAGAAGCTGTGAATAAACTGATGAACTGGTTCTTCAAGTTCCGCCACGAGGTGATTGAGCCTGGGGCGAGTCCTTTGTACCAGTCCATTGCCTCCTTCCTGAGAGTCGTAGGGAATAGTCGGCATTTGATGGACCCCCCGACATTGTGGTAATGCAGCATAGCCTCGAACCCGTCTATGTGGTCGACCGGGTCCGCGACCCCATCGTACTCCTTCAAGTGCGGGGGTTTCTCCATGCCCGGGGGGATGGGTGCTTCCATAATAGCTTGCGACAGGGGACCGCGGGGGTCGTCCTCGTCGCTCCTCTCTGAATACAGAGATGGGGACCTGTAATACTGTCTGGCACGACGGTCCTGGTCGTGCTGAGTCTCTCTCGAGCGGGATGCTCGTTGGTTGAATTTTACACGCCCGTCTCCGGAGTGCCTTCTTTCCTGTCTCGCCAGGTCGCGACTAGGTTCTCCGGCTTGGATGATGGACTGCCTCTCCAAATGGGGCCGTTTCCCCTTTGGTCGGGGTGACTGACTTCGAGAGGTTTCTCTGTAATGTCTCCGCGGGGGAGACGGGAGTTGGACTTCAGTCACTCGAGGAGGTGGAGTATGGGGCCTCCGATGCCTCCTCGGGGGTCTTCAATCGTCTTCAAGCGCTCTTAGTCTTTCCCCTTGGGCGAAGATGAGATAGTTTGTTTGATTAATCGCTGCGAACAGCGCTTGAGTTGTGGCATCCGCCCCGGCGGGGACGGGGACTTCCTGGAACCGAGCAGCCCGGTAGTTCGCGAGAGCTGCCTCGTCTTCTTCGAGTGGCGGAGGGACCGAGGAAGACGACGCAGTAGCTCCGTCGCGGTAGGTTGAAGGTCCGGGGACAGTTGACGCAGGGATGGTGTTGTGACCGGGGTTGCCAGTGTTGTCAAGGTGTCCGTTTTTGTCCGCGGTGCCTTTGTTAGTGTCGACGATGCGGACGTTTTGTTCATCGCGAGCTTGATCAGCCATGACAGTGATAGTTGAGTTTGAGCTTTGGTCTTTGAGTTTTACAAGACGGGGAAGCTAGTTTCCCACAGACGGCGTCACTGATCTAACCTGATCAGACTTGGACCGTCACGGCTGGCTCCGAGCTGAAGTTTTGAACGAGGTGGGGGGTACCTGCAAGGCACTCCGATGCTGAAGTAAGTAAGAGCACGAGCAGGCAAGAGTATGAGTATGGGTAAAAGAATGAATACCTGACCCTCTGGGAACAGAGGGTATTTATAGCCCCCAGCGCTGGGCCAAGGTTCCTTCATTGGGCTGGGCAGGTTTGGCCCAATGGAGAAACTGCCAGGTTCTATGTGTGTAGTGGGGACCCGCATGTGGTCCCCTTCCTGGATGTTCTGCGTGAAGTACAGACGGACGAGTACGCGGTCTTTTCGGGATCCAGGTGACGGCGTAGTGGATAGAGTCTGTCCTAGGAGGAGTGCTCGAGCTGAGGTCGAGCAGGATAGCATGGAGTCGAGGACGTCGCACTAACAGAGAATGGCGGGCACGGATATGGCCTTTTGGTCGGCGTGACCCCTTGCAAGACCGTTTGGATTGGGCCTTCACCATTGCTTTTGGGCCAGGTCGGCCCAGTCCAGAACACTAATCTTGCTATTTCACACACCCAACTTGACCCAACTAATAAAATAATATTCTATTAAAATCAACATTATTTCCAATATTAATTTCTCTTGACTAAATTGACTGATTATTTGATTATCAATTCTAACAATATATATTTAATCCAATAATGCTCCTTATAATTATTTCGATAATTCCTTCTTCGACTAAATTCCAACAATTAAATCCTTAGTAATTCATTTAAATAATTTAATGAATTTCCGGGTGTTACAACTCTCCCCCACTTAGAATATTTTCGTCCTTGAAAATTCATCCGGCGCCACTTTCCTTAACTTCGCATCCACCTCTAGCCTTCCGATATAATCACAACTTACTATAATTAAAATCTAACGCACACATGCAATTCTATTTCAACCCATCCAACAGCAATAATAATAACTAACGAAGTTCTATCGACGAAACACGTACCTCTGGTACCTCTGTCCTTGTTGCCTGTTGGAGTTTCCACCAACGCCAACACAAACAATGGTAAAAAATAATTAACAATACTCGATTGTTAAAGACTCAACAACTTTAGCCGGACGGACCAACATGTTCTGATACCACTAATATAACACCCTAAATCTACTCCACGGTTATATTAAAATCAGAGTGCCAAAATTTCCACAAACATGAGGCATTACATTCTCATTCCAAAAACCAACAACATAAAACCCTATCATAATAGATACATAGCACATATTAATCCAAAGAACTTATAACAATTAATTAGTCTTCCAAAATGTTTCAACTTGATTCCATAAATACGCAGCGGATTCACAACTTTAAAACTTCAAAAGAAACATAACATCTTTTAAACAACTTAATTCAAAGAAAACAACTTCTTAAATTAGTTTAAATTTAAAAACCATCAACTTGACGGTGTAAAAATATTTTACACGATAAATATATACTCTTTTTTCTCTAAATAAAATAACAAACAGTACAGCACTAACGTGACAAATGACAAGTGATTTAATGAGTAGGACCTCAATTAGCAAATCATCATTTAACGAGTTTTTATTAACATAGAAAGAAACTAGAGAATGAACGGTAAATATCCTCTAATTTTCAAAATAATTTTAATAATTTCTTAAAAATATGTTCCCAATCCCAAATAATTATAGATCCCAATCCCAAATGTATACGCATTCATTTTAACTTAATAAAAACATAAGATTTTCTTAATATATTATTGTAACAAAGAGTGCAGTGGGATATTTATAAAGTGCTTACGAGAGGCGGTGTGAAAAGTTCACTAAGGGAACGACGACGTAACATATCGCTTCTATTAGAGCATGATTATCGGTGTTTTTTGAGAGTTTCTACACATTTATTAAAGAAATTGTGTCAATAATAAATGAATATTTCACTTGTTTTCACGTTCCTGAACTAAAGCACGTCCTCATACTAAAGCACGCTTCTACACTCCAATTAAGTGGATCATGATAATAAATTAATAAATAAAATTGTAAGAATATAGTTGATTTGTTTTAAATGTGGAATCCATTTTAAATTTTTTTTGATGAGTTACATGGATATTTGAGAATTGTAGATGGGTTATTTAAAAAATTGAGAAGTGTGAAATAATATAAAAAATTATGTGAGTCTAATTTAAAAAACTCAAATAAATATGATGGATGTGGATGCTCTTAGCTTTCCGATTACCTATTTATTGGAACGAACGTTCATCATTTAGTTAAGCATCATTTTCTATGGCGTAATATTAACATATGTCCTAAGGACATATATTAAAAGTTAAATATGTAAATTATTTTTTGAAAATGGTACATTATTTTAATTAAAAGTCAGTAATAATTAATGTTTTCATTGTCTTTTCTAACATAAATTTTTTACTTTTAAGTTTAAACGTGTCCTAATCCCTTAAGACATGTTAACTTTACCCTTTTCCATACCATATCACTCATTTTCTACATAAATCTAGAAATGACGTGTCTCTATCAATAATGGAACAATAAAGAGTCAAACGAAGATAACAACGTTCTCTCAAGAAACAAGAAAAATATCTACCCTTTTTCCACGCCCCTCCCGGGCATGGGTATTTCTCTCTTAGAGCTTAAGATTCAAACAAAGGATTCCTATAAATACCTCAATATTGAGGTAGAGAAGGACTTTCAATCTCCACCCAAAATTACAATTCCTAAAAATAACTCAATCTTGAGGTAGAGAAGAACATCCAATCTCACCCAAAAATACAATCTCGTATCCAGGGCTTCTCACCTCTATACCTCTAATGTGTAAGCCAGCTCGAACACCACATAAAACCTTACAAACTTCTCCCAGTCCTATTAGCAAGTACAGAATACAAGTTAAATTGTGCATTTTTTAATAAACAAAAACAATGTTTATTATAAATCCATTGTTATTAAAAAAATAAATACATTACTCACTTTAAAATGAGATCTCATATTCAATCATCAAGGTCCTATAAATTTTTGTCATTTCAATCCACAGTATAAACAATCCACAAATAAACAGAAGCACCCAAGCCAAAAACTAGTATAACTAATGTATTTGTACTTTTATAGTATTAAGCAAATACAACTGTCATCATCATAACAGTGGCAATAATAGTATATGAACAAAGAAGAAACAAAGGTAATAGAATAAATATAACAATAAACTTTAATTGAATGTTACATGCCCAAAGGATCAATCTTCAAGTTTTCCCTAATTAACACAATCCCTGGCACCCACAATTATTGGTTCAAAATTACATAGAAATATTACATCCAAATCCTGTATCATCCCCAAAACTAGACCAAAATGGAGACATGACTTGAGGAAATTAAATCCAATGACCCTTTTGTAACTCCTTTTTCTACTCCAAAATAAATAGATTAAAACTAGAAATAGAACTTTTTTTGATAGAACATTTGCTCCTCAAGAAAGCAAAAAATGACAGGAATGTGAACCTAAAAATTGTAAATATTGGTAGCCAAAAAACCCGGCATTGGCATTAACTGTCTCAATGCGTCCCAGTGGTTTTCTGTCTCTCCTAAAGTTACCTTTTTGTAACACTAAACTTGTGAATGAATTTTTCCTCTCATTCTTTATCTTTGCGCTTCCTTTCTTAGTTAATGTAACCATCTTTCAATTCCATCAACAACAAAAATTCTGGAAAAAAATAACATATATAGTATATACTCGAACCTTTCAGTTGTTAACTGCCTTGCCTCGAGGTCAGCAAAACTGATTTCAGTTTTGCTATCAGTTTTGCTGAGCCACGAGATGGTCAAGCTGCATCTGTTCAAGCCATGTTCCCAGTACAGCATGATCAGCAGAGTCCATTTGTGCGTTCATATTCATATTCAATCCCTCACCGGACGTTCCAGCGGGCACAACGTTTGGGATAGATGTTGCCAATTTCTCTTTGATCTCGGTTGGAGATTCTTTGACAAGTGACTGCACCCATGATAAATCCGGCTCCTCGCCGTTATTCCCGAGCTCAAAAGAAGATGATCTACGGAGCTTGCCTACTTCATCTGCATTGTGAGCCCAATCTAGCTTACCATTGGGAGATTCCCATTTGGACCAAGAATTGACTGAGCCGGGAGGTGCAAGCATAGAGTTAGAGCCGTGCTCGCGGAAGCTTAGGCTGCGAAACTGTTGCTGTTTGTCGCGTTGTGCCAGCATGGACATCCTTGAGCTCATTGGGGAGATAGGTTCCACATTCCGTGGAGACATTCTTCCTGATGGCTGAACACCATAAGAAGCTGCCTGCAATAAATGATGGTCAACATTTTTGGGAGAAAAATTTGTATTCACTGGTGACAACATGTTTTGCTGCTGCTGAAACTGGTTAAAGAAAGCTGATTTGTGAGTAGGGGAAAAAACAGTTGAATTCAGTGTTGGATCGGCATATCGAGGAGAAGAACTCTCCGCAGAAAAGAGGTCGTCAAGATTTGATGGATTTAATGGCTTCATTCGACCAGAGCGGCTAAGACTGTTAGAATTCAAATGGTGTGGAGAGAGGCATGCCAACTCGTTGATAAGCTGTTGCTGTTGATCATAATCAGATAACATGTCAAATTCATCCATATGAATATCTCTAGCATTGAGTGAAGATCTCAACCGACTGGACTGGAGATTACTTCCCGGAAGATGCAATGCAGGGATGTTTGGCTGGGGCCAAGCACCAGAGTTGTGTGAAATGCCATTGCCGGAAGGTGACATGGGTGGAGTGAATGGTGAAGGAGACATAACAGACATTGAAGAAGGTGAGCCAGGCAACATGCTCATGGCTGCAGCAAAATCCATTGCAGAAGATGTGCTTGATCGAGGCGAGGGAACAGCAGAACCGGTTGAAACATACAATGGTCGAAGCTCTTCAGCGGTGTGGGCAAAGAAGCAAACCCTCCTGGAGCAGTTAATCCCGTCCTTGCAGAGACGGGTTCTATACTGTGCAGGATGCAGCCAGCACTCAAAAACTCCATGAGCATATTCACACATATCCCCTCGCCTGCAAGCACCCTTGCGAAAATCAGGACAGGGAACACAGCTGTAGTGATACTTTCTCGGGTCCCTTCTCCGTGCATTTTCCCCTGGATGAACAAAAGGGCATTCAGTCCAATCATGGGAATAAGCGCGCGAACAAGGTCGCACCTTGAAAGAATACATTCGGAATTCATCAGTTGAATATATGCTGTTTTTGATATCGGGAAGGGATGGATCAACAGGATATTCTTTCTTCTCAGATCCAGCAGGAGAAATAGGGACATCAATTGACTTTAACCTCAACAGAAGATCCGGCGGCGGTGAAGGAGACCCGTTCTCAGGAGAAGCCGACAAAGGAGGAGAATATGTATTAAAGGAATTCGTAATCACCCTAAGATTACAGCCAACACTAGGATCATCAGTTTGAAGAAGCTCTTCAAGACTGATTTTCACAAACTCAAGCTTAGGGGGATAAACAATAACATCTTTCGGACGATCCCCGTTAGCATCCACAGAATTGGGATCAGCCCCTGCTGCAAGAAGCAGCTTCACAGCATCAACAGCATTTTCAGCCCCACCCGATGCAGCACAGTGAAGAGCAGTGCTCTTGTCAAGGCCACAAGGCCTATTGATGTCAACATCAGATAGAGAAATAATCAGTTTCATAACATCAATGTTACCGTAGGTAGCAGCAACCATCAAAGGAGTCCTTCGCTCATTCACCATCTGCTTCGATCCCTTCCGACGACCATACCATAATCCAATCTCATCCACCGACGTAGGATCAAACTCAATCAACCGCTTGAACCCTTCCACATCGTTATTAGCAGCAAGCTCAAGTAAACTCGCAAAAGAATCTTCCGTGCCAACAGTTAAGTGATTCATGGCGTTGTTTCCTGGTCGAGAATTGCGTGTCGAAACTGGAGATAGAGAAGGATACGGCGCTGGCTTTAACCGCTCCAACTCACAGCACATCCTTTCATTTGCAGCAGATTTAGCTGTGAATAAAAAACAAACCCATTAAAGCCAAACCTTCAGAAACACACATGCAAAATTACATTAAACAAAAAAGCATAACAATGAAACAATGAAAAAACAATGAAGAAAAACACGAAGATTTTAACACACTTCAGAATCAAATTGACTAGAGAAGAAAAAGGCTTGAAAGTTTGATTTCATTATCCAACTCAACTGAAAAAGAACAACAATCATCACTTTCCAGACCAACAAAGAAAAAACACCAGCTTCATCTGACAACCAAACAACAACATAGTACAATTTCTGATCTCAAAACAACTACCAGAAACAACAATAACAAAAGGAAACCGCAGTAATATTAAAAATAAAAAATAAAAATAAATAAAATTAGAAAACAAACTGTAGACTGAAATCAAACAGCAAATCCATCAAGTAAACTCAACCCAAACTTCCAAGTTAATAAAAACTAACAATAACAGAACATCCTAGATTTACAGAACCCTAAAAAACAAGAACACCATTCCAAGCAAAGCTAAATAATTTCCGACATCGTTTAAGGATCACGCCAATAACAAACTCGTACCATGTTTCACGCACTAGTTTTCATTTTCACATCAAAAAAACACAAGAAACAAAGTGCGGGAAGAAAGGATTGAAAGTGAATCTTACCACTCAATAAAAAATAATAATTCAGTGGCAAAACAAGTAAGTAAAAGGATCGAACTAAGAGAGTGACGTGTCTTCGGATCTCAAAGGGGAGAGAGAGAGAGTGTTAAAGGAAGAAGAACAAGTTCAGGTGTGTGTGTGTGAGTGTTTGGATTCCGAGAAAATCGAAAGAGAGAAATTATGAAGAAAATCGTGAGAAGAAAAATGAGAAGCCACAAACATATCAAGAAAAGAAAAAGAAAAACCCGCTGCTAATGCTTCTTTCTTTCCTTCTCCATTTCCCATGCGCTCTTTTCTTTCCAAAAATAAATATTTAATTAAATAATAAAATCGAGTGTGACATTCTGTTAAGTCAGATCGATCGATAATTGTAAAAAAAATATATTTAATTATAATTCAGTTGATAAAAGTAAAAATATATACAAAAATATCAGATTTAGAGATGCGGATTTTGAAGTGAAAACTCTAACACAGAAAAGAATACTAGAACATGTCTTTTAAAACATTATTTTCAGTTTTGATAAAATCGCCGGGACATTATAAAAAATAATAATTAAAGAAAATGGGTTAATTAATTAGATGATTAAAAATAAAGAAGAAAAAGATGAAACGCACTGAGAGTTAAGATTTGATTATTCTTCATCTCTGCAGTGACCGGCGCCTTTTTATTGGCTAATCACATCACGCCTAGTCACTGTTTGTTGGACTCGATCGTTATTCCATAAAAATATTAGGGGTAGAAAGGTAAATTAAACGATGACGTGGCTAATATTCTTTGATTCGCGTGACGACAAAAAATTTCTTGTTGTAATTGTAGTAATTTATTTAACTCCTTTTCATTGATTAGTTGAAATTTTCTGGAAATTCAGTCCAAATTCACCTCACATGCAAATTCAACCGCGGATCTAGTATACCGCCGATTAGACTAAGTTTTTTTTTTTTTTTTTTACTTTAATAATAAAATAAAATAATAATAATGATAAATCTAAGCATTTGATATATTTCCAAAAAAAATTACCATAATAATAAAAGTATTACTTCCTTTGTCTCATAAGTGTTTTTAATTTTATTTTTATTTATTTTAAATTATTTGTCTATTTAAAATATTAATGTATTATTTATTATTTATTTTCATTAATTTATTCTTATTTATTATATTTTAAATTTATTATTAATTTATTTTATTATTGAAATTAACATAATTAATTATTATTTTAAAAAATACATTAAAATTTGAAGAAAATATATATACTTGTTAATTTTTTACTTTAATAATCCATTCAAATAATTACACGTAAGTTTAAATACAATAGTCAAATAATTTAATAATTAAATAAGTGAAATATCTCCATATAAGTTAATTTATTATTTTATCTGAGAAGAAATAAAAAATTTATAGCGATACGGTTGGGAAGGTGAAAAGCCGGGAGAGATTACCGGTTAGGTAAGTAAGGAAGCTGGGTACCGGGGGAACCGGTTGCATTGAAGTGGATTGGAACGAGAGGTTGGAATCCGGGTGTACGGATGCGGACTTGAGCTACTAGTCAATTGTAGTTAATGGAGCTAGTCAAATCATGTAATGCAAAAAATGTTAAAAGGGAAGAAAAAGGCAAGATATGTGCAGCACTCAATAAATAAAGATCAGAAGGGAATTTATAATCTTTGATTCATTATGATGAACAATAGTGTGAAATACTAAAATAGAAAGGGATAAGAACAAGGATGCCAAGCAAATTTTGTTTATAGATTCTTTAATAAAATAAAGCAAGAATAATCTTTAAATAATGATAACAAAGGAAATAGTGTCCTCTTATAAAAATGTACTCATTTCACTCATTTTTTAATAACTATATCTCATTTGAGTCTTATGTAGTTTTTAAGAAAATAATTAAATATATTAATTTCAATAATAAAATTAGTATTATTTATTAAAATATTTTTATTTATTATAATTAATAGAGTAGTTGAAAAATGTAAAAACTAATAAATAAAAAATAATAATGTTATATTGATGTTTAAAAAAATATTTATTTTAAAATATAAAAAAAAAAATTTAAAATATTTATTATAAAACGGATAGAGTACTATATAATGTCATTTTTGTGTCGATCCTTATACTTGTACATTAACCTAGAAGTATCTGATAATTTGGAATTCGATAACAAAAGTTAATTATAAATTAAATTATTTAAGTTTATATTTAAGACTATATTTTTAAATAGTGTTCGATAACCATTTGAGATGTCGTTTAGTTCGTCCCACTCTTTCTTAATCTTGCATTTTTTTTTGTATGGCTGTTTATATTTTAGCATCTTTTATATTTTCGTATTGCTGTTAATGTCACCTTATCTTTAACATTCGTTTATTTTAATTTAGAGTTCTTATCTTGATAGCTTTGAGACACTTAATATATTCATCAACTTATAATTTATTTGGCCAATTTTTATTCAACAGATAATGTTTTTAACACAAATACAAGATTAATGATTTATTTTATATTAAAATATTAAATTAAATTTGATTAAATTTAATATTTAAATATAATTTAAATTGTGTAATTGTAAGTCCAAGTTCAATTAAGATTGTAGGTAAATAATTATAGTGTATATCTTTATTTTGTAAAATATAATTCAAGTGAATAATATAAAAAAAAAATTTCTTCCTCTCTTCACTAAAAGTGTCACACACTAAAAAATTAGTATCCAGAGTTTTTAGTTATTGTTTTTGATCGAGTTTTCAAAAACTTCATGTCAGAGATTGTGTTTCCAGGACAAGTAAATCAACCGCCGCAAAGATGGTTAGTGATAAGGGCGTTTTGAATTCTCTTCTGATGCTTGATGGTGAAAATTGGATTCGAAGGAAAAAAATAAATGTAATCCTTGTTTAACTTCCATGAAACCCTAGAAATGGTTACTGACGGCGTTCCTGCATTGGTTGCAGATGCAACCGAAGCCAGAAAGCTGTCCACAACAAAGTGAAAAAGAAAGATTACAATGCTGCTTATTGCATTCAGACGGCGATCGACGCTGCTAACATCGATAGAATTTCTGATGCTGAAATGGCGAATGAGGCATTGGATATTCTGGTGAGGTATTACGAAGGAGGTGGAAAAGTCAAGGTTGTTAAGTTACAAACCTTGCATCAACAATATGAGTTGTTATCGGTGGTAGAAGATGAAAAAGTTGCAGAATATGTGTCGAAGGTTTAGAAACTCGTCCATCTCATGAAGGATTGTGGTGAAACCATAACTGATAAGATAATAATTGAGAAGGTAATGAGAATGTTGACCTCTCACTTTGATCACATTATCGTAGCTATTCAAGAATCCAACAATCTTGAAACCCTAAAAGGGGAAGATTTGGTTGGTTCGTTGGAGGCACATGAGATGAGGATTATCGAAAGGAAGAGAGTTCATGACTCGATACAGGCACTGCAAGCTCATTCATGGAAAAAGAAAGGTGGTTCCAACAAGTTTAAAGGCAATGTCGACAAGACTCGGGGAAAAAAGTCTTGGTCGAACCCTCACAAGCATCAGGTCAAAGACAGAGCTTCTGAATCCTCAAAAAGAGGAGTTGGAAACTATCGAAAGGACAAAGAAGATAAAAAAGGTGTGTAGTGTTATAACTATGAAAAGTGGGGTCACGTAGACAAGAATTGTTGGTACAGAAAAGACAATGGATCGACAAGCAACGGCAAATGAACGAACCTTGAACACCAAGATTCAGATGATTCTGAAGGTGGTGTGGTGGTTATGGCTGCAGTTGCAAATAACCATGTCGAATCTAAGATCTAGTTCCTCAACTCAGGCTGCTCGAATCACATGACTGGTCGAAAGGAGTGGTTGGCAGATTTTGACAAGTCGAAGAAGAGCAAGGTAAAACTTGTTGATAATAGTTTGTTGCAAGCAGAAGGTACTGGCAACATAGTCTTTCAAATGATTAATGGAGAGAAAGCTATGATCAAAGATGTGCTCTATGCACCTGGAATAAAGTGCAACCTGCTAAGTGTTGGACAACTAGTCAAAAAAGGTTTCTCAGTTGTCATAAAACAGATTTTTAAATTGTTTGATACCTAGGATAATTTGGTCTTAAAATCTCCTTTGTCGAAGAACGATATGTTTAAGACCATGATCAGTTCGAATGAAGTACAATGTCTAAAATCGGTTGTAGACCACAAGGATAGTTGGTTATGGAATTTGAGGTTTGGACATTTGAACTTTCGATCACTCGATCAACTGATTACTCAAGATATGGTATCTAGTATCCCAAGTCTTGAGACGCTCGACAAACTCTGTGAAGGTTATTTAGTCGGAAAGCAATCTTGAAACTCTT